TCCATTTCTGCACAACTTGAAATTTTTTGAATGATCATCTCCTCTGATGGAACATGAGGTTGCTTCCAACATTGTGCAAAAGCCAATCTGGCCGCTGTCAAAATGTGTATTATTATATATTTCACTTTTTTTATATTTGTTTATCAAAGATCCCTAACAGAAAGGACTCTGGTTTGAATTCGATCTGTTCTCTTGTCATGTCTTCTAGCCAATTTCTAATTTTCTGCCAATATTTTTGAGCTTCTGTACAGGACCACCACATATGGAAAAAAGTTCCCTCTTTTTTTTTTGCACTTCCAGCAATTCGGACTCATATTGAGGTGCATCTTCGCTAATCTCAAAGGAGGAAGGTGCCATCTATAAAACATTTTATAGGCATTTTCTTTGTATGCTACCGATTTTGTAATTTTATTATTTCTACCCCAGACCTTTTCCCATACTGTTATGGTGATGCTACATCCTATATTCCTACTCCAGGCTATCACGTTCCCTTTTACAATTTCTTCTTCTAATTCTACTTCTAATAAGTAATTATAAAATTTTGTTGTTGTTTTTTTTGCCTGATCCTAATAAAATTTTATGTAGTTGCTGGAGTTTATTGTTAATTCCAAATTCTTTCTTGTCCTATTTATACCTACTTTGAATTTGAAGATATGCCCACTGATCAATTTTTAGTCCCCGCTCTTGAAGTTCTTGCCATGATTTCAAATTTCCTTGTGTATCCAATAGATCCTTATATTTAATCATTTTAGTGATATCCAGATTATTTGGGTGAATCATCGCCTCCATTGTTGAAATCCAAATTGGTATTTTTAAATAGTGTTTTTTCTGTATTTTCTTCCAATTAGTTAATAATGAGTCTCTGAATAGGTGTCTGTGAAAATATTTCTGGCTAGTTTTCCCTACATCCCATAAAAAAGCATGCCACCCCCTTTGCAAGTCATGGCCTTCTAAGAATAATATTTTCATATTGGTTAAATTCACCCATTCCTTCAACCATACTAAAGAGGCTGCACTATAATACAACTCCCAATTTGGAAGTGCCAGCCCTCCCCTTCATACCCTGCTCTTCATATCCTGCATTGCCTTTAAATTTATTCTAGGTTTTTTCCCTTGCCAGATAAATTTTACAGTTATTTTATTAAGTTCTTCAAAAAAAAAAAATTGTGTACTTTGATTGGGATCGTCTGAAATATATATAGGAATTTTGGAAGAATATTCATTTTAATAGCAGCAATCCTGCCTAATAATGAAAGTTGCAGCTTGCCCCATGTTTCTAAATCCTTCTTTACCTGTTGCATCAATTTATCATAATTATTTTCCTTAAGTGTCTTACAATGTGCTGTCAACCATATTCCTAAATATTTAACTTTCTTTATCACTTGTACTCCCATAACTTCTTCTAGTTCTATTTTCTGTTTTTCTGTTAAATTTTTAGTCATTAATTTTGTTTTCTTCCTGTTAATTTTAAGTCCTGCTGCTGCTCCAAATTGTTCTAATTCATTCATCAATTTTTGTCCTCTTTCTATTGTTTCCTCAATGAAAAAAATCATATCATCCGTGAACGCTTGCAACTTATATTCTTCTTTCTTAACCTTTAATCCTTTTATATCTGGGTTCTGTCTAATTCGCATTAATAATGTTTCTAAAGATAATATGAAGAGCAGGGGTGAGAGTGGGCAGCCCTGTCTGACTCCTTTTTCTATTTTTATTGGGCGGGTATATTCCCCCTTTATTATAATATTAGCCTCTTGTGTATCATAAATGGTTGTTATAATATTTTCAAATTTGTATACTTATTACATTCTTGGCAGGACTAGACTTCCTGTCTCAGGAACTTCTCTGGAGTTGTTTTCCCCTCCTTTGCTGGTACTTTGCTTGTGTGGAGTGACCATTCAAAGTTACAGTGGCACTGAAAAAAGTGACTTATGACCATTTCCCACACTTACAACTGTTGCAGCATCCCCACAGTCATGAGAGGCCAGGCGAGGAGATGTGTGCCTTGATGTGAGTGATATTGAGTTGGCCATGCCCATCCAATAACATGACCACCAAGCCACGCCCACCCAGTCTCATGACCACCAAGCCACACCCACAGAACCAGTTGTTAAAAAAATTGAATCCCACCCCTGCCCACAACCTCTCACATTAATGGATAATAGTGTAATTGCTCATAATCTTTGAAATGGAGAAGAGAGTTTATGATTATTAGCACAAAGGTAACAGCTGGAAAAAAATTGAGGGGAGAGAGAGAGAGAAAGGTCAACAATTTAACAAAATAATTACTGTAGCCAACGTTATTTGGTATGTACATGCCATGCACTTTTTAAAAATGTATAATATACATTCTTTTTTGTTTGTATGGAATACTGCTATGTATCACAAATGTATGGAGAGAATAACAGTGAAACATTAGGAGGCATTCATGCTTGGACTTTCCTGGCAAATTAAGAAATGAGTAAGTACTAGAAAAAAGCAGAAAAGGAGTTATGGCTGTAATGGTCAGGGAAGAAAATGCTCCATAGGAAATAAAACCAGCTATGAGAGATAAACTTGGAATCAACTGAAATTTGGGTGCCTCAGTCTCTCTGGATGTCTAGATTTAGCTTTTCCAGATCTGCAGTTCATCACATCTAGTTTTCACATTTTTTACTTCAGCACTTGCCTTCCTGCTAGTAAAAATTCGGCTTCAAGATAGGAGGTGCAAAATACGATGAGTAACATACCATTCCTGTGAAGTTATTGCAGAGATTTAAAAGAGATTCCATAGTTTTTTGGTTCTCTATGAACGTTTGATCTCGGTAATCAAATCGGTTGCCGAAGACAACTGTGCTGATTACATTAGAAACAGCACTTGTACATTTTCTTTTTGGTTCAAAGGGCTGCCCTGCAAGAAAAGTTATAAATATTTATGAGCGGGATCAGAAAACACGGAGCTTTCTTTCCACAGATCTCATTACAAACCTAGAATAAAAAAAATTCAGGTCATCTAAATCCTCCATGATCTATCTAGAATGACACAGTCCAAATGGGTAAATACCCTGGCATCCATTAAATATATGTTTAACTATATGAAAATTTATATAATCCTAAATCTCTTGTATCTGTAACTTCAGCTGAATGAAGCCCATTTAAAGTATTTCACTTTCAACCAAGATACCTTAAATGGGCTAACCTAGGATGTCAGGACCCATTACTCCTGTGGCAATAAAATTTAGGAAATGTCTTGCCATTTCAGCAATGCTGTGCTGCTGCTGCTGCCTCTGTGTTGCTGCAGTCCCATGATCCTCATTTACAGCATTTCCTGACACTTTCCCACAGGTCCATGGGGAAGCCTGGAAAGTTTGTGGGGAGAAAGTCAATGGGGATCATGTGATCATGGCTGATGGCGGGAGTGCAGCATTGGGTATGGGCTTCTTCCTTCCTGGGAAGCTTGTAGGGAAGGTCACAAGTTGCTGGGGTAAGTCTCCCACACCTACACGATCTCTGCCAAAGGATGACCCAACTTATCCATGCTTAAAAATCTGTAATTACCCCCATTAAATGACTTCCTAGCATTTCTGATCTCTCAGTTGCTGCAGCCATAGTAAAATTTCACTACTTCTTGGTAATTTTATGAAGCCAAGAGATGACAGTGGGTAGAAAAGTATGGGAAACAGCTTGAAAGTTTTATATACTTCCCATCTGTATTTTTGTCTGTGCTCCTGAACACCATTGTGAAAACAACATTGTCGCTGCCTATTTTTTTCTTTATTTTGTGCACTTAAATGTAGAAGTGTGGTGGTGCAGCGGTTAGAACGCAGTACTGCAGGATACTTCTGCTGACTGCCGGCTGCTAGCAGTTCAGCAGTTTGAGTCTCACCAGGCTCAAGGTTGACTCAGCCTTCCAACCTTCCGAGGTGGGTAAAATGAGGACCCAGATTGTTGGGGGCAATACGCTGACACTGTAAACCACTTAGAGAGGGCTGTAAAGCACTGTGAAGCAGTATATAAATCTAAGTGCTATTGCTATTGCTACTTGAGTTTCAACTCAAGATCTAATTTTCCTGTAACCTTGCATAATACAAAACTCCCTCTCAGCTTCTTTTTACAAATGAAATTATTATGCTGCAGGAGAACTGCTTTAGGCTTCTTTGGAGAACCTTGAATGCTGCCCACTTCCTCCACTAGACAAAGGGCTTCCTCCTGCACTCTTTCGGACATCTGTTTCTTCCCCATCCCAAAATTTCTCAAGGTAGATAGCATAAATTGTCTCCTCTCCTTCCAGTTTCTCTCATCGGCAGTGGCCAGATCTAAAACCAAAGACATGGGGGGGGGGGGGGAAGCATGATTGTCACTTTTCAGCTTTTGAGAAATAGCCTGTTTCAATATAAACAATGGTTATAAGCACTTTCCTCCTTCAGATCTTTGTCTGTCCGCTAGCTGTCATAGGTCACTGCATTGCAATAAATTATAGATCACAAAATCTTCTCTTCCTACTCTCAAGAAAGCACAACTGGCAGCTTGAAATACTAATTAGCCAATGCAGTTTCCATTTATTTATTTATTCATTCATTTTCAATTTATGTCAATTTATCTCAAAAATTTATTCTGGGCAATATTAAAGATAAAGATAACACAACTGCAATGACAATTATAAAATTTAAAATATGTAGTAGCTGAGAAAAATACATTTTCTTAGTCATTATTATAACCAAGAGGTGAAAGCCTTTACACCAGTGGTGGGATTCAAATTTTTTTACTACCGGTTCTGTGGGCATGGCTTGGTTAGCGTGGCTTGGTGGGCATGGCAGCAGAAGGATACTGCAAAATCTCCATTCACACCCCACTCCAGGGGGAAGATTACCACAGCTTCTCTGAACTATTCAAAATTTCCGCTACTGGTTCTCCAGAACTGGCCAGAACCTGCTGAATACCACCTCTGCTTCATGTACTCAGGGCCCCAATTCTGACTTAATTTTCAACAATAGCCTACATGGCACATCAGCTAAAAAAGTCTTATTTGAAAAACTATTTCTGGCTCTCTCTCCAAAGAACCAAGTAGAAATAAGTGCTCTCTCCCTCCCTCCTTTCCCTCCTTCCCTCTCTCTCTCCAGATGATACAGCTTTATTCTCTCTCCTACAACTGTGACCAAATTAACATTTCTGCAAAATCATCTTTCAAAACTTTCTAGACCTTAACAGCATAACTTAAAATGCACACAGTAGCTTTCAACGAAAAAAGGAGAGCAAATAAGAAAGTGCAACAATACCAACTTTGATTATGGAATATTCGCTCAATGGTGGGCAGAGTATTACGTCCACCAAATTCTTCTGCACGATCTATCAAAGCCTCTTTTATCATCTTATATCCACAGAGCACAACCAAAGGTTTTGATCCAATCCAGATGGTAAAGATAGGACCATACTGTCCAATAAGCTAAGGTAGAATTAAATGAAAATCTAGTTAATTAGCTGATGACCCATGTTGGAGTTAAATTTTTCCTAAGTACGTTTGAAGTACATTTTAAATTATTGCAGAGAAATCTTCAAAATGTTCAAGGAAAGTTCCAAGAATTCTTAACATCCACAAATATGATTAGATTTCAGAACATTTTAGGTGTCTACTATTTTGTGGGATATGGCTAATAATATGAGGTTTATATAAAATGCAATTGCTTTTAAAATAATAACAGAAAAAGAAAAAAGAAAAAGAAACAAAGCATAACATTACATATACTATCAAAAAATACAAACAAGTGTTTTAAAACTAAGTGAAAAATACAGCATGTTTGACTTTTATGTTCAGCATTGAATTAAATATCATAGTTCACATAGAATTGCATCTGCAGTACATGATAAAACAGGTGTCCACTTCAAATCGAACCTGGCAGAAGCCATTTTTCTATTCCTCAGTTGCGACAAAGAATAGGGAGGGGGAAGGAGGATGAAATGCATTGCTAGACAAAACACATCTTGGTTCTCGTGTGAACCAAGATGGTAGATAGAGATGGAGAGGAGTGCCTGGAAAGTCCGCCAATGTGACCTGTGACTTTTGGGAGGAAGTTATTTCCTATTTTAATTATACTAAAACCATGGGAAACATTTAGAGTTGGTTTTGCATTTGATCGTGCCAATATGATGCATTCAATAAAAAAGTTATTTGAGGAAGTTCCTAGCCTCAGAGTTCTAGTTCGCTTGGGTTAGTTAGTCAGAACCTTGACATGAAGTTTGGTTGCATTTGTGACATACAAGACAAAAGTACCAAAATTCCCTAGAACTGTTTTTATCACGGTCAAGGAATTCTACAAGTAGCATAAGTATGATAATCTAATCTATTTCTTCAATTTATTATATAGATCTATATGAAATCTACAACTAGCCAACACTATAAAGGATACTAAACATCAATAATTATGGGTCCAACCACAATAAAAATAAAAGCTCAAGAGCATGAGTGAATGAAATGAAATATTCACACACATACACACTGTGTATTTGTGAGGAAGACCAAGACTAAGATGGATGTAATCCATCAGAGTTAAGATGGTCTGATCTTATAGAGTGGAAAATAAAAGTACAGACTTATGTTTAAATGAAATGGCAGCACCATTTGTTAGAAAGTGTTAATTGGTGCTCGATTAGACGATAGATATAGGAGATAGGAGACAGAGATAGAGATTATAGAGAAAGAGATGATAGAGACAGAGACAGGGAGATAGATAAGAGAGATACAGACAGACAATCATTAGTGACAAGGATGGCTCTTGGGAAAAATGAACCTGGAAGAAACGGAAAAAAGTGAAAGTAAAGCAATTGTTAAGAAGGTGTACATTTCTTATATAAAATCCTGAAAGAAAGCAAAAGCAAAAATACTTTGTTTCACTGTTTCTGGTATCATTAGCCTTCTTTCACTCTTCATGCTAGTAAGCTGAATTAAACTTTCCAAGTGACCAAACTTTGCCTGTGCTTTCTATTTTGACCAAACTCCAATCAACCTCAAAGAAAACTATTAGCTGTCCGTTGTCTTACAATTCATCACCTTTCAACTTCAGTAAGTATTATGCTTTGCTATTTTGTAGCTCCCATTATATTTAAAATCACTAAATGGCAGCAAAGAATTTCTGTATGTTTTTATTGCCATCATTAGTGATTATCCATAGTTTTACAAACTATATAAGGTAGTCTTAGTGTTTAGTTAGCTAGCACAGAAGGTGTGTTTGCATTTCAACAAACTGGGATCAAGCAGGATGGCTAGAGGAGGAAGAGATTTCATTAAGTTTGATGCTAATTCAAATGAAATAAATTTGAGGCCAGACATTTAATTTTCTAAAACTCTTATTATTACTAATTATACCTTTTACCAAATGTTATACTTTTGTCAGATTGCTACAAAACAATTCCATGCTAAAATACCTGCTGAAAAAAAAATATGAATGCTCAACACCTCCAACTACTAAAACTAGACAAAGGAAGTAATGTAGATAGACTTGGAAGTAATCATACCTTTTTATAGGATGCATTCAGAGGTAGTACATCTTGATGCAAGAGATTTCCCAGAAGAGGCCATGGAGTAGGTCCAGGGGGAAGCTGCCCTTTTTTCTTGTACATTTGGAAAGATGAGAAAAGGATAAAGAGTACACAGAGAAGAAGCAGAATTCCTGTCCATGTCAGCTCCATCCTTCTCTGAGTTCCTCTTGAAAAATCCAAGAAGCTGTTTAAATGAGACAAGGTTGAAAGGAGGCGGCCACCTGGACTCCCAATCATATCTAAAGTCCAGATTATCTCTAACCTTTCACATACCTCCTTGTTTACTTTCTGCTTCACTTATTCTTTCACCTCAAGGAAAGTTACTTATCAACATTTATAACTTCTACCTGTAGGCAGAAATAAGTTCTTGTTTCTGTATTTTGGGGAAGGAGGTATGGTTGAAAATTGAAACATTTGCCTTTTATGTAGGTGAAGAGTCTTTCAGGAAAAAAAATGGCAACCACCTATGCATATGAAATTTTTAACAAAGAATATGTAGTTAATTTGATTGTGCCATTTAGAATTAAAAGTTCTCTCACAAGTCAATTTATTTTTTTAAAATAAATTTTATTGATTTTACAATTAAAACAAACCGACAACACATACATAAATGAAAGAGAGAGAAAGAAGAAAGGGAGAAGAAAATAGAAAGAAAAAAATAGAAAACAATTAAAAACATTCTCATCTTCAACAGTTTGTAAGACCTCTTTTTTATCCTTATTTTATGCCATATACACACACCTAATCCTTACATATATCTGTGTATCACTACTATGGATTTATCCTATCCTCTTTTGCCTTTTAGTGTGAAGTCTATCTTTGGTCTATCCATTTGTACCAGCAGTTCCAGCTGTTGTAGTATATTGAAGTTATTTATTTTTTAATGCCAAAGTTAATTTGTCCATTTCTGCACAACTTGAAATTTTTTGAATGATCATCTCCTCTGA